CATCGCGGGTCTGGCCGATTTTAATTTGCGAAAGATTTGAAATTAACATTTATTTACATTTATAATCGGCACCAATGAGTTCAGCGATTCAATATATGAAAATTATTCAATAATTTTTGGCTTATTTAATATAAACAAACATGCACACATTCACATTCATTTGATGCAAATGATAATAACAATGAAAAACATTGACGGGGAATAGTTGACGGTATACGTGATCAACGATCAAATTGAATAATAATAAATGATCAAACTCGAAATTTATAAACTACAATAGTATATTATATAAAGTTATCAGTGAAAATGCAGAAATACCTCAAGTGTTTCTAATCGGAATTAAGAGATTTATCGTCTATTTCGTTCAATTCTGTTCTCTCCATATTCAGTCATCTAGATAGGCAAAAGCCCTTAAAGTGATTGGAAGTTATTATAAATTAATCTCTCGATTTTCTGCAACGCAAATGAGTCTCGCACTATCATTAACTATTCGCATCGAAGTGATGTCAACTTATATGCAATCGAGAATATATTACTTATATGCGCGCATGTGAGAGAAGGGAGTATGTTCAAAAAAGGGTCAGGCATTTCACTGTTTTAGCATGCATATCGCAAGTCGTGTAACTTTCATTACATCAAGCAAATGCTTTTATGTTTTTTTTTTTCAAACAAATGGAACCGAAAAGCGCCCACGCTTATTTTTCATATATGTGGATATTTCTGGTGAACATGATTGTTTGCTATCTATCCCCCTCTCTCTATCGCATTTTATTTTTCGAAAGTATACAATCGCTCTCACACACTCATCATGTACAATGGATACCGAAGAAGATGCTGAAACTGAGCCTGTAACTATTAAAATATTTATAAAACGCATAAAAAATACTGAGCATGTTTAACTTTTGATAAAAAAAAGCGCAACAATACACTAGGGCCAATTTCGTTCTATCTCCAACACAATTTCTTCTTTATTCGCTGTACTGTTTTCTCAACTGATTCGCTCAAAAGTGTTTCCCCTGCTGCTGTTGGAAACAAAGACGAAAAGTTTCGCTTTTATTATTAACTTTCTGCTTTTTTGTTTTGTGTTCGGTGCTTTATTCTTTTTTCGAAATAAAAGCGGAAAAAATTCGGAGAGAGAGAATGAGTGAGAGAAAATCACCCGAAAAACGACATACAAGAGAGAGCTGAGAACAAGGAAAGCCACATTTTAGTGAACTCACATGCATGTTTGTTCTCTTTCTTTCGCTATGTATGTGAATGTTTGTACTTTCCTCAAAAGTTTATCGATAAGAGAAAAATAAGAACTCAAAATATCGAGAAATAGAGAAAAAAAAGTTGATAAAAAGATGCAAAACTGATTTTCTACTTTTGCTCTCGTTGCGGTGCGTGCACTTACAATTTTTTTTATATCTCTATTACATTTTGTGGTTTTAATAATGCTTTCTTGTGCAAGTTTCAATTGAATGAGAGGGAGACCAGGCATATGTATGCAGAATATGTGTTTTGAAGTGTCGAGACCGCAAAGAAAACGACCATGAAAATAGCGCGTTATTTAATATGCATCAACCATCAAGAATAAATTCAAAGATAACGGCGAACAGAGAGCTTTTGTTCATTTGTTTACTTCTGTGTGTCTTCTTCTTTGGGTTCTTCTACTTTGAAAAGTGTTAGTGTGTACGCGCTTCAACTTTATGTCGCATTTGCTCGGATCGACACTGAATTTTCCATTTTGAAAGATTCATTTTCATTTTTGTGCTCTTTTCTTTCAACTTACCCACAAACTTTCGACATTTTTTTTCCTTCACTGCTCTTGTTTCACTTAAGTTTCATCATTTGATAGCAACTGAGAACACCATAACACTATACACACACATATATATATATAGATATTTTACAAATTGCATTCGTGCCCGCAATGCTACGTCGTACGTGTGCCTGACATTTATGACATAATATCGATGATGCTGCATTATCATCAGTATTGAAGTCTATATAGATGGGTTTAAAAAAAAATTCTTTCAAAACTATGTTGCGGTTATGATAGCCACAGAAAATGAGATCCAATAAGTTTGCAACGAGAACAAGAAGAGTGTACAAATAAAACCGCCATCGAACTTATGAGAACGGTATATGTTGATAGTATAGATGATGCTGATGAAGAAAATTTCGTTCCGGTTTTGTGTGTTTACCTAGATAGATAGAGAGTGCTGAAGAATGCACGATATTGTGGTAGAGAAAAAAAGAACATCAAATCATACAAAACGAAGCCGAAACAATAGAAAAAAAAATGGAAAAAGAAACAAAAAATTAATTCAGTGTTTCGCTCGTAGTTGGTATTAAAAATTTCATGAACGCGTAGAATTTTTCTTTGCTGGCAAGGAGATGCACAGAGCGAAAGAAAAAAAAGGTGGGGGGCGGGCATAATTGACCCAACAAAGAAATATGCTTACCGAGTATTTAATGAAGCAAACCATGATGATACAATGATGATGGCGGGTGATTACTTGTTTTAAAATAAGCGATAATAGAATAAGTTCATCGAACGACTCCATCCCATTACATATTGAATACGACCTTTGAATAGTTAAAAAGGAATGAACAAAATTCAGAACGAATGTAAATGAAGCGCATCATGTGCTAACACCCATTTTCGATAAATTGCCATTATCGTTTGTATTTTTCTCACAACGAACACATTATTATCGTCTTTTTCTTTTCGGTGCGTCATTTTAATGGAAACGGAGAGAACACACATCGCACATTTATTTTCGCAAAACAATTGGGTAGTTTGTGTTTTATTCGAAAAACGCACGGTTTTCACGCTCCAAAATTCACATCAATGTGGGAGTATATCACAAATGTAACGAAACTTTAATATTCACTACCTTCATCAAATTTATATCGTGCGCGCGTAACACAGAGACGAACGGAGAAAGAAACAGAAAAAAAATTAGTTTTCACATTAAGAAAGTTTATTCGCATAGCCGTCGTTGATTTGTACGAGCTGCATGAATATTTGCATTTTGAAGACAAACTCAAATGCTAGGCGCTGCAAATCTATTTGCAGGCGCTTTTTTTTAATTTGCATGGATAGCAAAAATCATGGCAAATGTCCACATTTATTCAAATGCCCTGTGGAACAATTACGAATAAAACTGTTGAATAATAAGATATGTTTTTTTTTTTGCTTTTTGTTTATTTGGCCAAAATCGAAAAATCTGCTTGACGCGCACAAAGCAACGATATGAAAATGGGTTAAAAAGAGAAAGAATGAGAAAACAGTTTTCGGACAAGAGCAAGAATAAGAGAGAGAGAGAGAGAGAGAGAGAGAGAGAGAGAGAGAGAAGTGAAGCAGCGTGGCAAAGAGAATTGCAATTTCTGAAGTAACGAAAAAAATGGCGAAAAAAAAAAATAACGAGCAAAAAAAATTGAGAAAGGCCACAAAGCGTGAGACGCAATCGAGATGGTAATGTGAGAAACAAAGCGCTTTTGTTATACGAACAAAAATAAATGGAATTAAAATTTGTGTTGATTTGTTTGCACAAAGATTTCATTTAATACTTCCCCAAGCATAATTTCATTTTTCATGCTTCAGTTCCAAACTGCCGTTGTGTAGTCAGCTAACTTTTCACCAGCCATCATCTTAAACTTTCCAGTTATATGCACTGGGGGACTTCATATGCAAGTTGGCAAACGGCGGGAAAAAAATGGAAATTCTTGTGTGCAGTGCCCGGGTAGTTGTTTGATGGCATTTTCCACTATTTTACGTTCAGTAAACCAGATGAGTGGACATCATTTATTCTGTTGGTGGTTTCTTTTTGTTTCATTCATTTATTCGGTTTCGTCGGGAAATTCAAAGTGAAACATTAAACAAGCTTGAAAATCAAGAAGATTAAGGTGTTTCGTATTCATTTGTCGCGTTGCACATTATTGTTACAAAAATCTTAAATACCACCAAATGGATGCGTAGTCATAAAGCGGTGCAGCCACAGAGGGGCGTGTGCATGAAAATGTTGAAACATTTGATGATGAAATAATAACGTTAATCTATTTTACCATTCTTAATTTATGGATTGGCATTTTTAAGACGCTAATGACCCCAACTTGAAATAATGAATAAGTTACAAACTACCTTAGCAACTAATTGAACGATAAACTTGAGAATATTTCAATCGGCCCATCTTCACACAGATGAGTCGTTTGTTTTGGCGATTAATATGCATGAAATTATTCGAAAAGGATGTTTACAGTTTGCTCAAACCATCTACATTTCAGTTGACTTACTATTTACCCCCAAAGTTCTGTTTCATACACCCACACACACACACACACACATAACCATTGTAATTCCTGCGATTTAATTTGCGCTTGTTCTGGCTCAAAACGTTCACTGACCTTTTTTGCTACGTATGAACAATAAAATCCGTCATCTCATTTAATTTATTCACGGTTCTGTATTCTATGCCGTGAATGTATAGTCAATTAAAGGCATCAACTCTCAATAGGCATTCATTCGCTCTTTGTTTTGAAAGTTTCAAGAAAATTTTATTCATTTTGCTTTCAATGTTTGCTTGTCGTTTTACAAGAAAAGAAAAATGCCTCGCTATGTAAATTATGTAATATGAATATTAAAGTCTCTATGAAATATAACAATATAGTTCGTTCACTTTTCACATTGGAAACAAGAGTTAAAAAAGGTTTACCGTGTTTGTCAGTCAAATGTACGGATTCATATTTGGACGAAAGTTGAGCGCTCACGATTAAATTCACGGATCTTTTTGAGTCTTACAATTTGATAGCTAATGAAGAGAAGATGCTTTTCTCGCTTTAAGATCAGTACAAATGCAAACGAAAAAAGAAATGAGCAGAGAGCTCATCAATGATTTGAGTAAATGTACCATGCAATCTTTGTTAGTTTCCGATGTTGATACCTATAGATAGTATATTTTTTTTGGACGACCATCTAATTCTTATTTATTTACTTCATCTCTTCCATTTAGGTTATTTGGTTTAAGGAGACTATGCAATTGGATACAACCGAACGGCATATAATGGGTAAAAAAGGGTCACGTCATACACTTATGATTCGAAAAGTTCATCCACAAGATTTCGGTAATTATTCGTGCGTCGCCGAGAATCCACTTGGAAAGACTCGGAAAACTTTGCAGCTAACCGGAAAACCGAATACAGCACAATTCCGGTCACTGCCAACAAGCCAATTCAAAGACAGGTAAGTCATGTAGAAACGAAAAATCGTATAACCATTGAAATGTGTCCTTTCGATTTTTCGTCGGTGGCCGATTCTTTCGATATATTTAGGCTGTTATACCTATATTATAATCCATATCGAATGATATTTGTGTTACTTTCTGGCCTTTCTTCGAATACAAGTTGCACACAGTGCATATACTTTGCCGTATTAAATCTGTTTCTTTTATGATTATTATTATTGCTTTTGGTATAAATGTGATATAAAAAAACGAATATTCGACCCAACGCTGCTGATTGACTTTTGAGACTTTCATCTGTTTGAATAGATGATACACAGATAGAAAGATAGATATTTTTTATGCTATAAAAATGGAATTGGCAAACGGAAGGTATTGGCCATTTTAGTCTCTTTTTTTTATATCATATTCAATGGATGACAAGATTCGTTATTTCTTCCAATTTTTCTTTTCTTCCTGCTTCAAATAAGAAATTACAATACAGATTAAGGAATCATTTCCGTCGCAATACAAAGTGTTGATATATCAGAAATGAGAATTTGCAGAACGTGAAATCCATACAAATGTCCGATTTTCGAAATGTTTCTCAACATAACTTTTCTCTCTCTCTCTCTCTCTCTCTCCATGGAATGGACGCAGGATAGACGTCTGAATGCTTCTTTAATTGACAACCTTTTGGTGATGTGCATACGACAAACTATAGACTGAAATAAAACTTTATTAAATTTAAAAAAAAATTAAATTATGTTTATATACATATGTGTATGTGCTGTGCTTTATTCGAGAAAGAAGTTTATTCATTACTGAAATACCAGTTTTCAATTCCGAGAATACTAAATACTTAGTAATGCAGAACTCTCTAAATATCTCAGTTTTAGCACATTTATGGCAAGTGAATAAAGCATTTCAAAGAAGCCACAAACGTTTTTTTCCCATCCATTTTATCGGCCATTCGTGATCTACAGCTGGATAAAATTTTACAAAGCCTGCAATCTGCTGTAATTATATGGATTTTCCAATGAATTTTTCAATCGTCGAAGTGAAAAAAAAAAAAAATATATTTTGCTCAAGACGAAGAATTTCAATGTTTATGTGTGTGTTTTATTGATTTGCTGCTTGAGACAGTGAAGAAGAGAAAAAACCATAATTTCCGTTCACTCTATCTGTGCAGAAAATGCGACGCGAACGAAAAGTAGCAAAAATTGCGTTCGAATTCGTACTTGAAATATTTTAGCGCATTTTTATATATAAATATAAATAATTTAATCATGAAGGTGGCCAGAGCCAGGTGACCAGCCACATCACCTTTTTCGCTCATTTGTGAATCGGTGCGCGTCGAGTGCCGAAATCCGTCTCTCGGTTGATGCAAAACAACATATATATAGTTTTTGGTTGGTGTGTCTCTCCTGGCCGAGTACGTGAAAGCAATAAAAATAATAAAGTGATATGAATTTAAGCGGCTTCAAGGGTTTTGCAGTGTACAAATTTATCGGTGTTCGTTTGATGCGCGATAGACTTGGTGCACAAACCAACATACCATTGGGTAGTACACGTTTATGTACAGCACTTAATGCTTAATCGTTAGGCTATGGCTTCTTCACGAATTTTATTACAAACATTTTCGACGATCTTTTTCAATATGTGCGAAGAGATAGAGGAATGTGTAAGTGTACGTACACAAAAACTGCTTCACTTAATGTGATTTTTTTTTCTTCTTCTTCTCCGTTTCACTATCAGCAGCAGCACCAAATTTATTCGTTAGACACATACAACAGCTTCGTTTTGGCGAAAAACGAGTATAGGCCCAAACAAATACGTATATGTATACAAACAAATAAATTTTGAAATAGTGACTTTTATGAGGGTTACCAATTATACACTAGTAAAATGCGTTTCGTTTCGCTTTCATTCAAAAGAAAAATGTGGATGTTTGTGTGTACTGCTGTTGCGTTCTCTCTTTTCTTCACATTGGCATTTCTAATTTATTTAGTTGATGGTTTGAATGTTTAAATCGGCCACCATCATCGGCACATTACAATGACGCTCTCGTTTCAATGTCATTTTCATTCGATTGTGTTTCTATATATATATATATATTTTGGTTCGTGTTTATTCATTTCTCTAGATACAACATCTCCTGGACAGTTGATTCGCACACGCCCATCGATGAGTTCAAATTGTTTTACCGAAGGTTACCACAAGGACATGATATTGATAACAGCATAGATCAGCAACAACCATTGCAACATCACAGCAATCTACCGCATCGCAATTATAATATGCACTGGTCACGAAGTGGAACTGAATGGCGTGATGTTGTATTACCATCGGTACCACTATCTCATCATTATACACAAGGCATGAGCTACTTGATAAAGAATTTGGATCAAGACCAACAATACGAGGCTCGCGTACAATCACGGTACGATTTTTTCTTCTTACTTTTTTTTTCAACTTACTTTCATCCATTTCAATTTCATATTAAAATTGCAAACGGCGTTTGTTTATGTATACATTTAATATAAAATCTATTGTTTTTCGTTTCTTTTATACAGGAATCGTTATGGCTGGAGCGATATGTCGGAAAGCTTCACATTTAGTACAACGATGAACGGTAAGTGTCGTAGATAATCGAACATTGTTGTTCCAATTGGTTCGTTGAGTTTTTGTTGTGTTGTACATTTTGATTTGTAACATGCGTTATTTGTATGTATTGATGTCTGTAAAAGCATTAGTGTATATGTTAATCCACGAATTGTTAGACATTTCATCCAATAAATTTATAAAGAAGAAGATGAAGTAATTGTAAGGTCATCGGCGATTTGACTTCGATTGAACTTGTCCATTTTCAAGTTAGCCCATCGTCACTTGAAGGAAAATCGATTGACTATATTAAACGAGTCCGTCAACGGAATTAAAGTAGCAATAAAAATCACGGTTAATAGAACTGCATACCGCTATCATCAAAAACTCCCTTTGTCTAGGCAGTCAATACCCGTTACTTAACAATGGCTTCAAATCATAATAGGATATTGTGACAAATGTGAAACAATTTCGATTGTGTCGCCGTTTTATTTTCAACATGACTGCCCCTTAACTCTCATTCCCATCAATTTTCTTTTCGATTTTTCCATTCGTTGATTTTTTCGTAGTTTTTATTTCTTCTTCAGCAAATTTTCGTGATTGTTTTTGCTGTCGTGTTTTTCGAACTTTCGTTCGACAAAAGATTTATAATTTATGAATGGCATTGTGAGGTTTGATCTTTTTCCGTTGCTCGCCCAGAATTATGTTTATTGGTCTGGTGCGTTTCGTAGACATATTTTAAGAGTCAAACATCGAACTAAGCTGTTTTCATTCTCGATTGACCTAGGTTTTGGTTTAGTGTATTATATGTCTAGTGGAACGTCGATCGAATGATAGTTTATTTTATGCGAATTGATTTTCATCTTTGTATAATCAATATGATAATATCATCGGCCTAAATACGTCAAAAGTAATACAGAACTCAAAATGAAAACGAAAAAAAAGAGAGCAGAAAATGTATTAGATGTATGATTTGAATGTACTAAACATCCATGCTGTAACATCAGTGACATTATATCACCATATTTTTTTTGGTTTTATTCATAGCCACACCTAGTATGAGTTAATGCACCTCATCTTAACAGACACAATAGACTCCTACCTTCCATAGAATTTTGTTGAAGCGAAAATCATATAGAGTTTTGCATTAATTTGATTTTTTATATTGTTTCGTTTCGTTTAATATCATTCATGAATTCCTCATCAATATCATTTTAAATTGTACTAACTTTACACATAATTTGCTTGCATTGTCTTGCAGATGGCTTTTCTGATATCAGTTTCTTCCAGAATCCTCAGTCAGGTTAGTTTTAGTTTTAAGCGCGTCCATTTTCGCATATGGGTGTGCCGTGTGAAAGAAGTAGAGTTATCTGTAGAGAAAAAAAAAGAGCATGTTCACATTCATTTGAGTTACATTGAATTTGCTGGGCTTTCAAAAATAAGTTATTCATTAGACTCTGGTGTGTATGATTCGGTGTGAAAAGCACATCTATCTAAATTTTCAATTGTTTAGTATATGAATTCTTTTTCACATTCCATCAAAATGTACAAAATCAACACGAATGGAAACGCATGTTTAAATTTCGTTCTTGACTTTTGTGAATTCGTTAATTTTCTTGATTTTTGTTCGAACACATATCGCCATTTAGCATTAAAATGACAACACGATGAAATTATTGTTCGAACATTTCTGATGCATCTCATTTTATTTTGCATGTTATGATTTCACATTTTATTTTGCATCTATCCATTCAATCAGTATGAATGAAATGAAAGGTAAAAAAATAGGCATATATCTACGTATTTCTGAAGAAGAATTATGCTTTGACTACCGAATGATGAATAATTTTCTCAAAAATAATAATAACCACCGTTGAATATTTGATGTTTTGCTATTATTTTCCATATTTTAAAACAAATACCATTATTATCATGTCTATCAATTCGTATTTTATATTTTTCAGATAATGATTTGCGAGGAATTGCCGTCACGTACTATGGTACTAATTCACAATCGATCAACACAAATACTGTACCACTCATTTTACCCATAGCTATGTTTATATTAAAAATTTTCGTATAAGTAAATACTTATGAAAGCACACACAACAACAACAACAAATAAAATCAAGCACACGTGAAACACGTTCACTATGAATTCAGTTTTTTTATACGTTTGAGACAAAGGTGAAATAAACTAAAGAAAAAATGAAATAAATAATCAAGAAAATGTAGCAGGAAATGAGGAGCAAAAAAAAAATCGTCACACAGCTACACATACAGACATACAAAACCGAAAGAGACAAACAAAAAAAATCATTTACAAAAAAACTTCAGTACTCACATACACAATCACACAGACACACACACACACGTTGTATTATTAAGGAGATATTGTAAGCTGATCGTTAGTAATTAAAAATGGATTTAATCTAAGTGGATATACATGTAAGGATTAATTAGAATTAAAGAACATTGAAATGAACAAGTAGGAAGTAATGGAACATATATATGATTGCAAAAGAGGAACATTTATTTCATATATTTCACGGAAATAGTTGAAGGGAACTTATAACTCACCGGCACCTCCAGATTAAACATGAATAAGAAATAGGATATATTTCCAATTTTTTATGTAAATAATATAATGCATTCAATCATTCAACAACAACCACAACAACAAACAGCAAAAAAAAATAATTCCTTCGTAAAATTCACTTGAGCCAAATTAATTTGTGAAATGAGATGAAAGCACCAAACCATTTATAAATATACATATATATTATTTACTCAATCTAAATCGATTTTCAAGATGAATTCATTTTTCACCGTATCCCATACAAAAGCATACAAAAATCTTAAACGTATATGATATCCACAAATCAGTTACCTTCAATGAATTGATTCAATCTTCACTTATAATTCAAATAAAAAAAAAATAATTGAAAATTGCTTAAGCATAATATTTAGCTAAAAAGATGATGAAAATAAAAAAAAAATAAAACGATTAGTTACGTCGAATGATTTTAATGCAAGAAAGAAAAAAACAATCCCTTCGTGTCCTTGAACACACTCACAAACACCGTGTATACATGCTCTTAAGAGTTATTTATTTCTATTTAAAATACCATGAATGAACGTAATGTCTCAACAAACAACAAAACAAACAAATAAATATGTTCTTAAATTTCCTTAAGTATATTATTGCCGGTCGATGGCCGAATGGTCGTCGCCGTCTATTGTCGGTTTAATATTAATAAATATGATGTGAATCGTTATAAGATTAGAGAAACGAACGATCCAATCAGTTCATTGAATTTACAACCAATGTTTAAATCAAACACTTAACAAAACCAAAATATATTTGCACCGCTCATTTTAATCTTCATAGAGCTGCCGTCAATCGGACAGGAACACTTTCAATCAATACAGAAAAAAAACAAACAAAAAAACATTTAATTGAATCAATGTCGAAATGAAGAAAATGCAAAAAAAAACAAGACGGAGAAAAACGCGACATTTCATTGTGTCCACTTTCCGTATTCTCTTTATGGAAATCGTTTCATTTAAATATTCATTAAATGTTTCCCCAATAGGCTGCAACACAATGATAATGAAAAAAGATTAGCATGTAATATGTGTACGATTTATTGCTAAACATAATAGATATGTATACATTTATTAAAATTTAAAATCGTACATCAAATACACACATACGCATTCATTCATCAACAAATATCGCCCCCCCCCATTTCCGCACACCACCTGGGACAAATCGAAAATCAAATGGCAATTTCCGAATTACGTTCATCGGTTTGGTCAAAGTCACATTTCATTGAAAAAATGAACAAATGTCTCTATGTTTATTATTCGTGTTAGTGTTTCCAAGCTATATTATAACCGAAAACCATCATAGAGCTTAATATGATTATATTGAAATCAGGCGAAAAGATAGATGTCGGATGTGTGTAACATTCATGTATTATTATGCACCAACTAAAAAAAATATGTTTAGATTTTTAAAAAAAACAAGTTTTTACCTCGATCGATATGAGTTTAACCATTTCTTTGAATAAAAAAAAACCCCGAACTGGATTAGATGAAATGCAAATTCTGACACATATTCTATTCTTTACCATTTAACAGCGTGATTTGACATAATCCATTCATTTTCACTGATATATGTTAACGATTAAGATGAAATACAACCACAACCACTCTAGTTCTTTTTTATAAATCACCAACAGTCATTATGCAAAACCAAACAAAAAAAAATCACAAAAAAATTCTCTTGAACTTTCCATTTGAACACAGATATTGCATGCAAACATAAATCCAATCGATCATTTATAAGAAAAACAAAAAAAAAAAAACGAATGAATTTAAACGATAAAAGAATGATGAGAAAAAACGAGCGCGAAAAAAAACGTAACATAGTCTAAACTCAAATGATATTATAGAGCATTTTTGAAAACCAAATATATTTTAAATGTTATCTCACTTACAATCAAATAAATGTATAATCGCGTATGTGTTTATTCATAATAAATTTAATGCAAACAACAAATATACAACAAGACACCCCTTAACAATTTAAGGAAAAATCTAACACACGATGCAATGGTAATTAAATGAAAAAAAAAAAGTGCAAACTTTACATTTTGAATTGAACAAACCGAATGGACCGATATACTAACTATTATAGGCGTTGTACTAACAAATAAACTGAATGGCGCCTGTGCAATGTATAAAATTAGCAATCGATTCTAAAATTCTATTCTTTCCAAAGCACCGAAGTAATAATGATCATGACATTTTCAAAAAGCCATTTCAACATATATACGTCGTTGTTTTTGTTGGTCTCCGTTTCCCATTTAATATAGTTTACGTTTTCATCGAACAATTGAAGAAAAAAAGAAGTTCTTTGGCGAATCTTTTAAAAATGTGAATCATTCATCAACTATGGAATGTAATTCGAAAAGATTGTATCCACGCGCAACTTTTCCAATCTTTTAAGATTGTGTATTCAGAAAGTTTTCATGATGGAACGCAAAGATTTTCGCCGTTTTTTTTTTTTTTTTTTCATTTGTCGAAATACAAGCGTATTCAACTCATTATTAAGTTACAATTAACAAAAAAATAGAAAACTTGAGAACTTACACTGAAGCGACAGTTTTTACGTATGAAAAATTCACACAACCACAGACCATACAAATGTCAGACGACAAAAATGCCATTTATTTTCTCTCCTGCCATTTAAAGTAATATCTTAATCGACACTGCCATCCAAATATTTTACTAAAATAACAACAACAACAACATTTCTTTCTATGCAATATTATTACTGTCACACAATTAGCAAAAGAAAGCAACATTTACATGATTATCGATTTCTTTTTATCCGCATCAATAACAATGTAGTACCAAATGATGTTTTTATGAGGCACCATTTTCAAGTAAGACAGCATTGGGATCGAAAAAAAAAGTCGACAAAATTAGTTCAAGTGGTATTTAAGTCATGATGGTTGTTAACACAATTCAAATCGATGGAAAAATTGATTTGTGCATTGGAAAGACCGTTTACAATGATGAAATAGAAATGGGATGATTGACGCACGAAAAATGGTTCATCATACGATATAATATGAATTTAAAAAAAAACGTAGCAACCACAACAACAAAAACATTGCAAGATCGAGCATCGATTGAAAACCAACATCAACAACAAAAATGAAATAAAGAAAAAAAAACATTGAACAAATTGTTATTCTGATCGTATGAACTTATAATAATTTAGCACAAAATGTCAGTTTTATTTTGTACGCAAAAACTAAAAGTTTCGTAAACAAATCGACATTGAGGAGAAGAGAAAAAAATATGTTGATTTCAAGAAGCAGCATTTTTCGTGACATAGTTGGGTCGGTAATCTGACTACTTCATTTGAAAAATTTGTTAGATTTTGCACAAAAACTTATCTCTCCAATTTTTGTATTTTTCATTTAATTTTCTTTAAAATAAACTACATTCAAATCAGCGACATTTTTTCTAGTGATAATCGTACAAAATGTAGCTCATTTATGTGCACTAATTTACATTTCTATGAATAAAAGAATAAATTAAACTAAAAAAATAATATAATATGATACATAATATAGTGAAATTTGCGCGAATTGTCCAACTAAAATAAAGAGAGAAAATGTAGCAAAAACATGAGCAGAAAAGATGGTACAATAGCGCCAATATATGTATTTAGCGATTAAATGAAAACACACAATTTCAACAACAACAAAAAAAAACAGAGAGTAAACCATTGAAAATAACAGCAACATGTAATTGAATTAATTGTAAAGCAAATTAATGGCCATGGAATTTTCAAATTTGGCATTATTTCGATAGCCGACAATCTTTAACTTCTCACATTTGAAAATTCGTTTAATCGAAGTACCGTAAGAATACCAAAAAAAAAAAAAAAATTTAAAAGCAAAAAAACACACACACACATACACGTTTAAACCATTTAATGCTTTATTTTTAATGTATTTATGTACTGCTTGGATATTATTACCATAACGATAATTAATATTATGAAACAGACAAAAAAAAATAAAAGAAAACAATTTAACATTAAAATGATGAAACAAAATCAACCGGAAATATAAAGATTCAATAGAAATCCGATGAAATGTTAAAATGTAATATGACAGAATTGTGTAAAGAACATGAACATTGAACAACAACAGTAACAGCAACAACAAAAAACCATATAAAAATTATATACAACTATAAATGTAAGTTCATATTTGATGAGACCCAAATATATTTTAACGAGAAGTAAAATAATTTGCCGTTTTTTTCATTTTTTTCCTCTTCATTTCAATTTTTTATTATAATTCCGGATCCTGGTTGTAAATGAAATAGTTGAGAATTATGTTTTCGGAGCAGCTTTCAAACGGACCTCAATGATAAGGGTCAAAGCAATGCGATGCTCTCTCTCTTCCTTTCGCTCTTTCGAAAACACACAAAAATGTGCGCATAAAGGCAAATCAAGTGTATGAAATTTGTTCTATGAGCATTGAGCAACATTTACTAATAGGATTTGCTTTTTATGACCAAGCGCAACATTCTTTTTTTTTCGCCTTCTTTGTTTCTTTAAATATTCAATAATGCAAACGAAAAACTCTCCACTGCATCGTTGAAAATCAGTGGGTCAACTATGAGCAATGACAATAGCGACATATGTTTTCATTTATAAAAAAAAAATGAAGAGAGAAAAATACAAGGAAATAAGTTGAAAAAATATGATGAAGGAGAGCACACAGAACAGAGTGAAAAGTAAAAAAAGAAACACTGAAAAGAAGAAGACATCGAATGAAAACGGTAAAAGTTTAAATGATACTTTGCCCAGCGGAACCATGCCAATGGAATAAATTCGATGAATTTCATCTTCTTTTTCATCAACGTTCATGACTTTAGTCGTTATTATTCTCTCTTTTTTTCTGCTTGCTTGCTTTATTCTTCCACTGCAGCACAACGTGCAGATCACCAAATGCGAGCATGAGCGAGAGCAAACTAACGGCGCCAAAGTGTAAGAGAAATGGAAAACAGGAGCACACGAGATAGAGATAGTAAGCAACTTACTTGGCTTTTCAGTCTTTTTGTATGTTGCTAAAGAAAAACTCTCATTAGCATTTATATTACGTTTCATATAGAACGAAGATTACAGCACGAGAAAAATATTTAAAAAAAATTCGCTTCACGGAAAATATGAATAGAACAAAAAAAAAACTGAAACATAATAATAATACCGCAAAAATGTCTCGCATGATGTGAAAGCAAAGCAGACTATTTGTTCTCTTGTCTATATACTCGAACGTCATACACATACACATACACATACTGAATGGTAAAATTTAATATTTGGTCATTATTATGATATTTTTTATAATGCATTCGTCCTTTTTTAATTTATTAAATAAAATGTGAGGATAAGCTTGTATTAGCCTCATTCACGAATGTAACCGGTAAATGAAGTTTTCAAACTTATTGATTTGCTTTAGACATTGAACTCATAGAATAGAGATGAAGCAAAAAAAAAAAAATACAATTACAGAGTACCCCGTACAAGCGCTGATGCTATTTGCTATGGTAAGTCTCCTCTTTCGGAGTTTATTGCAATTAAATTTTAGCCGAAAGCTGGCAAGTATAGTCGTGTACATTATTGAGTGGTAGATGGAGAGAGAAAGCTACTGCCGAAAGGTAAGCATGAAATAAATTCATTCTATTAAGTGCAATGAAAATCAGTGTCAAATGCACTTTGCTGTGCTGGCTAATTGAGAAATTTAGTTTCAAGATACCTTATACACTGGTACTTAGAGGAGATGAAGAGTTGACGTGGCGAACGAAGAGATTTTTATAACATTTTTATTTGCCATAAGTGTATTCGATAGTTCCACCTCTCCATTCCTCCCTCCTTAACATTCCTCCTCTAATGAAGAGAATTTGGCGATTCATGCTCAGAGCTTGCCATATAACTGAAAAGCTTATTCGAAAGTTATTTAATTTAAGCCAAAATTTACTGTTCACGAATACAGGTGAATGAACAACATTTTTAATGCGCTTTTCAAACAATCCATTTTTTTTCGGGATGTTAAAATATGCATGATTTAAAAAAGGTTTTCATTTTCGATAAAACCATATACATTATTGAGCCATGGTCAATGCAATTTCTGTCATTCAAATAACTCAACAAAGTCTTCACATATGTGCAAATATTGGCGAACGAGAAAACACAAAGCCATACACATCGAAATCTCATATCAATTCGGAAAATAAGTTATTAATCGCTTGAATAAAATATGCCATTGGTATGCTATTGATGCCCGAATATATCAACGAATAAAATGAATGAAAAATAAATATTTCCATGCGAAATAACCTCGAGAAAGGGGCAAGTAGAAAAAAAGTACAATGGATTGGCCTTTTGTTGTCACAAACAAATGCCAATGTGTTTCGCCACATCAAAAATAAATTCAATTAAGCGCATCATCCAGAATGAAATTGCACATATAGATACACAGAGTAGATGTACAGATTCATTTCACCGAACGATTTTAATGTGGCCGAATTGGTTTTGACCGAAATTTACGTCAAACGATTGAAATATTCACAAGCCATCATCAACAAGTCAAAACTCGATTGCTTGATGTATCATTAAGCTTTAAAATCGTTTTCGGTTTGTTTGTAGCACGCACAACTCAAGCAAGGTATCAGCTACCAGATTAAAACCTATTTTTTTCGGATTCCTAAGCCCAATCTGCAAAAACAATAGAGAATTTGGCTCGAAAATCCTTAGCAAATCGAAAGATTTTTCTCTTCGCCAAAAGCTCTAGCAAATCGGAAGACATTCTGCCACCAAATTAAATTGAAAAACTAAAATAAGATCTTCACTTTTGAATTGATGAAATTTTTTCTCAATTTTTAAAGGAGTAATTTCACAGTCCGATCTTCTTTCACCACCCGGATCCGACCCTTCGGACTCCTGGTCAGAAGATATGCTGTGCGTTAGAAATATTTTTTCAATTCCACTTGTTTATACATCAAGCATTACTTCCAAGTACATTGTATGGCAGTGTATTGTTGAATATTGAATCATGTTCTCGATACTTTTTAAATTTCAATCTCAATATGTGTTTTTATATTGATTCTGCATGTTACACTTTTGCCACATTATAAGTGCAGAATAAAGCCGTTTTTTATATATTTTTTAATAATTTCGTAAAATTTCCACGAAAAACCATTTACACGATTCAATATTTCAAACGAAACCATAATGAATAAAAGCGAATTAATATAAGCTGATTCGCGAAACACGTGTTATGTACTTAAGCCATGTGCAATATTTTTGCGATAGTAATATATAATATATTTAAATATTACTATATTTTATATAGTTGCGAACATAATATGACGTTTTTCCATCTTTCATTTGATACAAATTAGGCTTGTTGCGAGTTGTGCTGGCTCATCTGATTGACGAGCACAAATCGTTGCAAGTCGAAAAATGCAATTTTCCGTAAAATTTTTATGGGAGGTATAGCCAAACTTGATCTTTTTTAAAAATACAATGATTTTTAGATAGGATAGATGCGTAAGATCTCCGCAAGATCCAGATCCAAGCGTGCGTACGCTGCCGCATGATGCATACATATATAATACGCACGCAAATTCGTTATTCTTATTTCCCCTTCTTTGATTCGCATGCCATAGCATTACGGAGTAAGGAATGTATATATCACGCGGCTACGTACGCACGCTTGGATCCGGATCTTGCGGAGATCTTACGGATCTATTCTATCCAAAAATCATTGTATGTTTTTAAATGATCAGAAAGTTTTTTGTTAGTTGAATCTGAATTGCTCATTTTACACAGAACAGATGAATTCACTTGGTTTACAAATAGACAATAGATTGATGGGCCGATAAATATAAAATATTGGTCATCGGTTTGGCTTGTGTTTGTCCGCCGTAAATACTCTCCTATGAGTATTTTTGGTTTTGGGATTGTCACTGCTGCATTTTTTGTCTCATTGTTTGATTTCAAATTTGTCATGGTGTATAAGGACATGGTGTCTGTGTTAATTTTGATGTGAAATTCCAAACTTTATTGAACATTTTACATTTTCATCTTGCACTCATTTCGCACAGTAGGTAAATGTCTAATAAATAGATACGATTGTTTTTGCTATTACCGGATTGGCTACGGTTTTCATATTCACAACAATTCATAACATTCTGAAATCAATTTATCAATCGTTTATTTTCATTCATCAGGTTACGATCACATTGAGAAAATAAAATCAAACAATTTTTGCGGCTTTGTATTGTATAACAAACGCTACCATTTCAACGACATTTTAAATTGAAACGTAAAATGGATTACCAGCAGGACAACGCAATATCTCGTGTGTTTGATGGAAATTATATCAATTTTGATGATCACAGTCTCAGGCTCTTCAGTGGACAATTTATTTATTATACTAGTTCAAAACAGAGCTGTCCACGAACACCTACGAAAGAAACGTCAAAATCAAATGTTCGGATTATTCGTTCGTTGTTCGGATTGTTCAGCCGAATTCCACCGGATTTTCATTTTGTATTTGTATTTTTTACAAATATACTTCTTTTGAATCAGCCTAATATGCATTATTTTTGCTTTAAAAACATTTTCATTGACCAGTGAAAAGAAAGCTCTGCTATTCGCCGAAAAATGTTTGACGTAATAAACGCATGAATTTATTTTGCAAATTGCTCTTCAATTAAACTTCATTGTGGAATGATGTGATGGAAAGAATGAAGAAAGATTGAATTCAGGATAATGTCGTTATATTTATAAAGTTTATGGCGTTTATTATCAAACACAGAGAAGAATAGTTAATTGGAAAATGTCTGAACATAAGTGGAAACAAATACGAAAAGTTTTCGATTTATGAGAACGCATTGAATTCTACACTGGCATAAATTTGTTCAATAAAATGACTTGACACTACCGAGATCACGATTACAGAAGAGTGCAGACGTATGATTATGCTGGATAAATATCCGCTGCTGGACTTGTCGCACACACAAGTTGTGTCGTATGTTGGAAGAGGCACAAAACGAAAGGCAGAATTGAAAAATGTTGTGAAAAATACTTCACATCAATATTTTAATACAATAAATATGTTTGATAGCATTGAATGAAAGCACGAAAAGATTCTGCTTCCAAGTGTTCACCACTTTATCTTTAGATGTGACCACAGAATCTGTGGCACAGATTCTTGCTAATTTGAAGAATTCATCGTAAATCCCAATTGTGACTCAATTCACGCTCAACAGAGTCTATGCGTTTGTAGAAAAATATTGATGCAAAGTATTTTCATAGAAATGTAAATATCTGACGAAATGGCGGTTCTCGCTTGTTTAGCCGTGTCAAAACTTTTTCGGTATCACCTCTCAAACTGTGCGCTTTTTATGTTTTCTTTTAGTCCTTCAAAAGTCAATAGACTCTCGAAAATGAACACGTAAACAAAATCATCAACGAAAAAACCCCGCTGAATAGAAACTTTTGGGTAAATACTTTCGCTATATATGTTTCTTCGCTTTTTTTCGTGCTTTCCTTAATGATGTGGCGCGTAAAAAAAAAATTCCGTAATTTTTCGTGCAAAAACAAATAAATTATTTCCAACGAATAAAATCCGAACCAAAAAGCTTAAAGGGTTTACGAAATTTTACCCGCGAATATAAAATAAATGTACATTTGTAGCATATAGATGGCCATACGAAGAGCGACAAAATATTTCAAACGCAAAACGAATAAAAAACAAACTTTCTAAGCAAGGTGTGCTGCCATAAATTAAACATAATTAATTCACTCACTGACGGTATCAAGCCGAATATTTTTTTTAAACATTTAAAATGCGTTTTTCTTTCCGCTCTTTGACGCAAACGTGTGCACCAATTCGGTTTTGAGCTGGCGGTATGAGTAAAAGTACCAGTTTCGTGTGCGTATCTCGGTGAACTAGTTCGTATTGTTAAAAGCTTGATTGAATATAAACACAACAAAAGCTAAATGAAAAATTTACCGTGTTTCCTATGTACAACAGATATTTTGGCGATGTATGTTTATGTGTGTGTGTTCCTTTTTTTCCCGAGTGTCTTGCACACCGAAAAAAGGCCCTTACCACGTACGCATCGAAAATCATTGGTAGCGCACCGAATTGAACAATATATTTTGTTCATTATAGAATGAATAGATTAAAAGTTGAATGTTAGCTAAGACAGATTCGACTTTTTATTTTCATTAAAATTCGGAAAATAACTTCGAAAAGCAATAAATAGAAATGGTATAAATTAATTACCGCTTCATAAGACAAAATGGATACCACCCCGAGTGCTTTTTGTCTTGATTTTCTTCCGATTCAAATTCAATGTTAATGAAAACAAGTTCTCAGGTAAATTTATAGTATTAATACAGAGATACGGTAGTATATGCATCATGTGCTTGAAATGTATACCGGAGTATTGAGTTTTTTACTTTACGTTCAATGAACGATAAATACGTTCCGCGAATCGGAATGGCCAGCTCAGCTGAGTTTAATCATTGTGAATAGATAAGTAGAATAGTTCCCACGAATTAACGCAGTAAATAAGAGGAGAGATAATTCTTTCAATACCGCTTAAAGATCGAACATTTCTTGTTCAAAACTTTTCAATACTCAATGAAATTTTTCATTATTCCGTTGATTAAAGTGAGCTTATATTGGCTGCACTTACTGAATTAAAAAAAACTTAGCCGTTACAACACACACAGTGTTCAGCGGCCACGTTCAAATGATTTCTCTTGAATAAATGTAAAGGGTTGAAGGTTGAAACGTGTAAATGTCAAACAACTTTTGTTCATTTATTCAGAGAGTTCTTTTAGATGAACAATTTATAGCATCATTGTTAATTTATTTTCATTCAATTTTAGTACTAACTGCAGTTTCCAGTCTTTCTAATGAATACATTATAAGCATATTTTCACGAATTGCACAATTCTAGATAATTAAATTCTGTAGTTTTGGCTCAAGCTTTGAAATCCGTAACTTTTCTTGTGTCAAACAAAATTCAAAAGAGGTGTCATCTATCAATTTAAAAACTTTTTTTGAAATTCAGAAAAACAGGAAATATTGAAAACAAATTATTAATTTGGCTATTAATAGACTCGCCAATATGAATCTAATGCGGACGCTATGATAGAATGAACGTACTTTTCACATTTAAAAATGTACTGTTTCAGTGACGAATTTGGAACAAACAAAAACACACAATGCATAAACACAAAATATACGCATTTACGTCAACGAGCGAGCAACACTGTTACAATAATTTGAAAATAATGTGTGTGTCTGTAATGTGTCTGCATCCATAATTTGAAATTTCGAAGTGCAAATCCTCAAAAATGTCAAATTATGGCATTGAAATTGGGCAAGCTTCGAGTCTGAAATTAGAAAATGAATTCATTCCACGCGACGCATTTCTTTTAGACAATTTTTCGAATCAGGCTTGGCCATTTTTGATCATGTTTGAGGAAGTGCATCATCATAAAGGTTTATCCTCACAAATATTTGCTTGTATAATCTTTTTTTACCTCACCCAAATATTGTCAAACGTCCAAAAGTATTAAAGAAATTGAATAAATCCACATTTTGTACGTTTTAATCAACGTTTGTGAACGAAAAAAAAAATTATGGCAACGAAAAATCGAATTTACGGCCTCGGAAAAATACTTTCTCAAACATGAGCAAAAATGGCCAAGCCTACTTCAAACCAACACTGTTCTTAAAAGCAAACATATTTTATTTTTATTTGTTATCGCTCCATTTTAGCACCTGGCGTTAACTGCCTGAACTGAATAAGGAAATGGACGGTAAACATAAAAATAGCTCAAATTCATCTGCAGGTATTACCGCAATGTATACTGAATGAAAGACTGAAAGACTGACATTGATAACATAAACCACTTTTTTCGACAAAATTATAACTGTCCAAGGTGATGGTTGCACACTTTTTCAGACCTTCATATGCAAAATCTATTTTGCAATAAAAATAAAATAAAAAATAAACGCTAAAATGCAATGAGATAAATACAATGCCATACATATATGGGTTGTTTGGATTTTTGTTTATTTGTGCATTTTATCGAGTTCATTGTACCATGTACTCGTATTGTGTATACTGTATTGCGGATATGAATGCGGGGGAATTGAATTGAAACTTCTATTTATAACATTTACCATATCGAACACTAGTTATTATACACTTAGCGGCTTACTCCACTCAAATGCAATCGGGAAATGATGAACACTAAAATTATAGAGCAAAAAAGCCAATTTTATCAAGATGAAATGAGTTTTATTTCAAAAAAAGTTTCTTTCTTCTATTCAATTGTATGAGATGTTTGACTCTTCTGAATGTATAAAGTATCACATTCATTCTCGTGCCTAGGGGGTAGACACGTGGAATCAAAACTCACAGAAATCACAAAAATCATTAAAATCACAGAAATCACAGAATTCAATTTTTGTGATTTCTTTGATTTCTGTCAAATGTTGTGTATATTGTACCGCACACACACTATGTGTGCGACTTCTACTATAGGCGCACACTACCACAGTGAAATTAGCTTTGTATATAAGTGTATTTTATGTCCAATATTGAGGTTTGGAATCGAGAAATCACCGAAATCGCAAGAATTAAAGATTTCATAGAAATCAAATAATTCACACTGGATTCATAGGTGTCTACCCCCTAGTCTCGTGCATTCATGTGTCATACTATTATTCTGTGATATGAAGTTGTCGTTTTTATTTATTTTATAATTTTAAACCGCCAAGGCCAGACAAGGCCGAATAACTTTAACATGTAGGTTAGATTTTACGGCTGAAACCAGATACTACAAGTACTTTATCAAAACAAAATTGTATTCAATGGAAACTATATAAATAACTTGCAACTTTAAATGTGTAAAGCAGTTGAGTATGATACATTAATAAACTTAGAACCATTTCTACGATTTGACTTTAAAAAGTATTCAGCTTTTAAAAATGGACTTTCAAATGAGTTTCAGAGTGGTGATTGTGTTCTCCATGCTAACTGATCTAACTCAACAATTTGGAACGGATAAGCCAGCTTTGGAAAATCAAACAAAATTCATTTTTTATGACAAAAAGTAAGACCATTTCATTTCATGCATAAGAGATAAGATTTTATCAAGTGAAATAACAACGAGAAGATGGAACTAGAGATTATCAGAAAATGTTACCTTATCGATGAAAACATTTTACAATTTTGCTGAGACACATTACTTGTCTCTGCTGAAATGAGTTTAAATTAAAATGATAAAGGTATTCTTCCAAAAAGCCACCTGTGCCTTTTATTAATTGAATTCAATTGATTTTTTGCAGTAATCGAGAGACAACCAACACAAAATGTTATGAAACAAAGCAGTATTCGATGATTGTTCCAGGTATATAATCAAAATTCATTCTAAATGCAAGTAAAAACAATGATTTGACCTTTCAAGGTTATACGGAAAATTGCGATACATTTTGGGTGAAAGAGCTACGAATGAGTAAGTTGAATTAAAAATTGTCATAAATGTGGCATTGCCATCGTTCTCTGTTGTTGATGATTTGGTAATGGAATTTATAGATTTGCTTGAACATCGAAGTGGTTGCATTATTTGTATGGACTATAGTAATTATAATAATGATTACCCATTTTTGCTGAGACATTTTAAAATGGTGGCAAAAATTTTAACGGATCAACTGATCAATTTACGTGGCAAAGGTTTTCGTGCAACAGATTCATATTATTTTGGATTTAGCTATGGTGCCCGATTATTGGTACGCGCTGGCAATGATTTTGGAGCAAAAACATTGGGAATCCTTCACTGTTAGTGTATTATATATGAATATGCTCTTTCAATTTTTGCTCAATGTCTCAATATGATATGATTTAGTGTGTGATGCAGCGGGTCCCGGATTCGATAGACGTTCGAATGCAAATCCACGAACAGCTGCTCAATATTCACAGTGCATTCACACAAATTCAAAAAGTCACGGAACTGAGGAACGGAACTGTGATCAAAATTGGATATTAGGTCATTGTGGCCAAGAACAACCGGCAGCCGGGTTAGAGCTATAGTTTCTATTCTTTTTAATTCTCTCAAACAAAATGCTGGTTTTGTAAATATGTTTGTTTGTTTTTTTTCTTCCCCTTAAGGCCAAGACCACTTGGTTCGCATGGATTGTGCCCGGTTATTTACAATTATGTGCGTATTTACAACTCTTTACCATTTAAAATTAATTTTTGTGAATTTTCAATTTTATCTTATTGTTTTCAGAGTTTTAAATATAAATTTATGGCAATTGAAAAGGCTAAAACGTGCAGTGAACCGGCTAATTCTCGTGATTTGAGCGTTTTACCTTCAGACGGCATTCGAATGGGTTATTTTCAGAAACTGTATAATTCGACACTGTTGAATGGCATCAATCTTTATGCAATTACCAAAAAATCACCACCGTATTGCTAACATTATAATGCATTTTGAACCGAATTCAACCGAATTACGCTTTATTCACTACTATATCAGATAAAAACATTCACAATTTTCCACTCACTTTATTTATTCATAATCGTAGAGTATTTATTTTATAAATAAACTTGGTCGCTTTGGGGGAAATACATATAGCTAACACCAAAGGAATTAGGTGAAACATTTTGAAGGCAACCTTTCGAAAACTTGAACATTTTCACTTTTACATATTTGTGAACGAACCAAACCGTTGTACTTAAATTTCTTCGTAATAAATATATTTTTCATTGAGAGAAATTTTCGGAATTTTGTTTTTAAAATATTGCTCAATGTGTTGTTGTTGAAATGTGTAATTTGCGTAAAGTTTTATCCAAATTGTATGAAAAATAAATAAATTTGCCATATCTTATCTTGCTTATCAATAATAGATTATGCTAAGATTTTCGCTGTGAATAAATTTGATTGAAATTTATTGTAAATCTGATCAAAATAAAAAAAAAGTGAACCGAAAATCATACAACTCTATCAATACTGTAAACATTGTCTACAAAGTTCTAGTCATTCATGAAATCAATTTGGTTTTCTGTTCGTTCATTAAGTTTTGCGTTTCTTGGATGTGGTCACTTGGCTGTTCTGTTTTCTGTAAATACTACACAATGAAGTATATGTAAACATTTATTCATTCGTAGCGTGTGCGTGTGTGTTGTTTATTTTGCGTTAAGTGGAATAATGTGCATGCACTCGTTTAGCTCTTGTTTTCGTTCGATGACTTTATTTTTGTATACATACATAAACACTAGAAGATTAATGTCTCTGATAAAAATCGACCTTTTTTTTGGGTTGTTTTTCTTCTTTTCTCTTGACTTCATCTCTTCACACAATCCGATTGAATCGGGGCCAACAACTAAAACAACAAAACAAAGCTGGTGATAATCCACAAAATGAGCGAAACGAACCGATTGTAACGAATGGTGTATAGACACACACAGAGAGAAGGGGGAGCATCTATTAAAAATACGGCGCACACACACATCGTGCCATAGGTGAACGTGTTGATACAATTTATGTGGTATTATTTGTGAAAGTGGCTTCGAAATTCCATCTAACGGCATCTTCGGCATTTTGTGTTTGTGGACACACACACGCACATACAAAAGCAATCAGCACACATTGTAGACAAAAGCCATCACCAAAACGGAATGTGTTTGTATGTTCTGTGAAAAGAGTGAGAATCGAAACAACAGCCAAAATTATTTTGATTCTTTTCATGAAGAAAAAAAAACCACTTTCTCTCTCTCCCCTACCCTTTCCATTCATGCCACATTTCTTCAAATACCCAATCTTCGTGTTCCCGACAACAAAATCTACTTGTGCACAACTTTCGGAACATTTGTTTCCTTCTTTGAGTGTGTCTCTTTTTGGATTTTTTTTTCTTCACCAAACGCTTGCCATTTCACATGTCGTATGCGTGCGCGTGGTCTGCATTTCTTCACATTCAGAATCAATCGCCGAGAATTTGATTTTATTTTTATGTTTGGTAGCAGCCTCTGTCGTACGTCTAACCAACGAGAGATAGAGATAGAGCGAGAGAAAGTCTTATAAATAATATGTGAATGGTCATTTATTTAGCAATAGAGGATAATAAAGCAAGCAAAGACATAAAAATATACACGTGTAATTGTATGATTTGTTCATAATAAATGAAATGGACAAGCAATAAATCAATCTACAAAGACAAGAAAACTTTTCTATGCTCATGAAGCAGGCGGCCCATGCTTTCACTTCATTCGAATGCTAAACCAATAAATGTTTAACAGTTTAGTCGGATTTCGGGGCTCATTTTCGCACAAAAATTAAACGATTTTACGTAGACAAGCTGACAAAAAAGAAGAAATGCCCCGCCATTTTTTTATGCGTAAACAAAAACGATATTACACCAAACCATTTTAAATCGCATTTAACCCGACAACACTAAGTTGTACGGCATGTTATAATTTTGCGCCCAATTATTAACGACTAGACTAGTATTAGAATATTTTTGTTCAACAGAAAATTACCGGGACTCACTAGCAAAATCTTAACTCATTCAGTGTTCAAATAGCTGCAGGCATATAAGTGATGAATGAGCTCCACTGAAGCTGGAAACAGAAATAAAAGAATATAACAAAGGGAATAGACAATTTCACATGGTATTACTGAGGATGCCATGAATAGAAGCATAATGTCGAGAACCGAAATTAATTTCCTTGTTCAATGTCACAGAGATGATATGTCTCTATGGAATTTTGGTGGAAAAACAATATTTTGAGCTAAACGCAGAAATGGCATGACAATCACGACGTTTCGAAACGAATCTTGATTCCGTTGCTTTCATAATATATGTGCGCTCTGCTTAGGTCTTTATCGAACTTTGATGAATAACAATGTAGATCCATCGATGATCCAGATTTAATATTTGATTCGTGTTTAACGATTATCAAATCCTTTTCATTCATCGAACAATGCGAAACTTATCGGACTGAAATTAATTTTTTTTTGATAACGCATATCGCTTCTTCTGCATTCATTGCGAAAAATCGTTTAAACGGATTCATCAAATCGATTTAGTGTATAAATTCGATGGCATGCCTGGTGATTTCTTGCACATACATAGAAGTTTTAAACGTAAAATAAGTGTTTATATTGTGTGCACTTGTTTTTGATGCTAAGCTGCTTACCTTAAGCACGCTGCTGCAGTGAAAACTGACGAGTGTATCACGAGCTTGACTAAAGTTTTCTGTGATTCGATCATTTGAATTAAATTGATTTGAAAGATGATTTTTTTTCATCGAAAATGTCATAAAAGCTCCGTCACGAGCATGGATTCATAAATGAAATCGTATCGCATTTTACGAAAATAAAACAATTCGCAGACGCAAAACGTTTTTAATGATTCGCTTCATACGAATAACAATAAAAATGAAACACATTTTCATGTAACTTCATAATTCCAATAAAATGACAAGTGCATTCTAGTTGCTTTCGACGATTAAAAATTCAAAACAATTCAAATGATATTCAGAAGCATTGAATAACAAAATTATGAAATGAAGCAAAGCCAATGCACGTTTAATGTCTTTACTATCGCATTCTTTTCCGTATCAATTAATTTGAAATTAGACTTGAAATTCTTTTGGTCATATTGAATGCCTGCAGATATAAGCGAACGGATGCCAAAACAGAATCATTTTAAATGGCATCAATAATAATAATTGTCTTTTTTTCTATTGTCTCATTTGAGGGTGAATATTTGAAATATTTATGAATTACCGTGTATAGCAGTGCCATGGCCACATTTCCGCTCATTTCCAAATGGAACAGATAATTCGTTTGGTTGCACTCAATATCACTTCAGACTTAAAAATTTCCCTTTAATCATTCAATTCTGTTGTCTTTCTCTCATTCGCTCACCGTCTCTCTCCCCGCACATTCCGTCGAGTCAATTTTCTTTTATCACTTCGTTTATTTTTTGGTTCGAAAATGAACAAAAAAGCCGTCACTTCTCTTCTTTTTTTCAGGGATTTTTCACATCTTTAATTGAAATAGATACAATCGACTGGCTGGTGTCTCTGTTTGTTGAATGCTGTGGGGGTTGTTTTGAAGTTTCTAATAAAAAAAAGGAAAGAAAATTCGAAAGAACCGTCGCCGAAAAAAGGAGCCGAAAAAGAAAAGGAAACATTTTCAAAAGAAAAATTGTCTACCCTCGAATTGGTATTTCCTGTTGTTGATTCGGTGTGAGTGAACTGCTAGTGCAGCGTTCTCTCCCACTCACGCACATTCTTTCTCGGTTCGACAGAACAGTGTAATATGCTAATTCCACAGTTTCTTTTTTTTTCATCATCATCCGTTTGCTATTTTGATTTGAGAAGCTCAAAGTCATCGTTAAAACGAAAACAAGAATGTTATGCAATGTATACAGTGTGGCATTTAACAGTACCACATCATTAAATTTATATAAATAATGCAGCTGCAAAAAGCGATAAATAAAATATGCTTATTTAAAACGCTTCACTTTTCCGCTTTAGTTGCTTTTTTTCGTTTCGCAGCAATGCACAAAGTAAATTTGTTGAGTTTCCATCGCCCCCAACGTCACAAACAAATCTACATGCAAACGCATTGAAAGCGCACATAAATCTTGTGCCTTTATTCAAGGGGATGACAAAATGATTAAAATCTATTCAAATACTGTCTGCAATCATTGGTGTGTCAGTTTAGAGTTTAAATATTGTCTGCATATTATTTAAAACACGGTCTATTGGAACGAAATTAAAGGCGAAGGAAGAATTTGAAGCAACCGATACCGTACCGAGAGACGTTGTTATATCGATGTAAGTGTTTAGATTTGTTGGTCGACTTTTCAACTGATACCGATCAGAAAAGAGGAAGAAAGACCATTGCATCTAAGTGTTAAGCGTTACCTTGTTTGGTGATTTAGGGTTTTAATGTTGGGCATAGCCGGAATATGCGTTGTTTACATACAATTTATGAGCCACTAAATTGATCTTTAATGGCTTGTATTCAACATTTCTAACTCTACAACATTTTCTTTTAATTTTGCTCGTATACTTTGTTGGAAACATACCGAAAACGGAACCATTTCCAAATTTCACAAATAACATACACACAAAACAACAGCCCTCAGTATACTGATAGCAATGTACAATGGGATGAGCGGAAACAGATGAAACTCTGGCATTTAACATTGGCTTCAATTTATTAGACTGACTGTCCTTTGGTTGTCTTCTTCTTCTTCTTCTTCTGGTCTCGATATTTTGTTTCTTTTCTCACTTGTGAGCGGATAAATATCAAAACTTAATTCGAAATATAGTTCACCACTGAAAATTCCGACAACAAGTAATATGTTCAATTTGGAGGCTTTGGTTTTTTTTAATTCTCGATCTGCTGAAGTCATTATTTTTATGTTTTTGTTTTAACAAAAAAAAAAAAACACGCAAAAATTCCACGAAACCAGAGAATGAAGCTGATATGTGATTCAGTTTGGTTTTGGATCAAATGAAGAGGAATTTACTGTTACTGTGATATTAAGTAATTGTTTATTTTAGAAGAAAAAGAAATTCGAATTTCAACCAGATATATAATTTTTTGCAATTTTTCTGCACAGCTACAATAATAATCAGCAGCTGTAGAATATGATAGAGATGTTTTTATTTCCTTCAATACATTTCCCAGACGTACTTGAAAT